CAATTTGCTGTACATCCTTCCACTCAAAATGAATTCCCTTTTTCAATAAATCATATAACGGCGCCGCAACCTTTGCAAAATCTTCCACGAACCTGTGGTAATAATTGACCATACCCAAAAAAGACTGCAACTCAGCCTTAGTGTTAGGCCGTTTCATGTTCGATATATTCTTCAAATTTTTATCCAAAGGTTTCACCTCAATTCCATTAATTCGATGACCCAAATATTCAACCTCCATTACTCCCAGAACACTTTTCTCCTTACTGGCTCTCAAGCCTTTATCACGAATTCTCCTAAACACTTCCTCCAAACGTTGATTATGCTGCTCCTGCGTCACGCCAGTAATTAACACATCATCCATATAATAAAATACTCCTTCCAATCCTTGAAAAACCGACGCCATGGTCCATTGAAAAATGGGAGCAGATACGCTCAATCCAAACGGTAATCTACAAAACGCGAACAATCCCTTTGGAGTCTTTATCGTCAATAATTTACGGATTTCCTTTCTCAAAGGTAACTGCAAATACGCCGACGAAAAATCCACCTTGGAAAAATATTTCGCACCCTTCAACTGAGCCAAAATCTCCTCAATCCTAGGCAATGGATATTTAACCTCCACTACCCATCGATTTACTGTGACCCTGAAATCCGCACAAAGTCTTAATTTAACATTTGCCTTTTTAACTGGCACTAACGGGGTTGCCCATTCGCTATATCCCACAGGAATAATAATGCCGTCCTTCACCCATCTATCTAATTCCTCATCGATCTCCTTCCTCCATTCGAAAGGAACTCGCCGACAAGCCAAAAAGATCGGTGAAAAACCCTCCCTAAGTTGAACATCAACTTGATAATCATTTAAACAACCTAATTTTTCATCAAAAATAATGCCATACTGTTTACTAGAATAGGAATAGCTTGATTAACCTTATTCCAATCCTCTTTTCCCCCGACCACAATTTGCTTCTCATTTCACTCATCATTAAAATCCAACTTACTCGATATCTCTATCATCTCCTCCGAAATTTCACAAATTTTATTATCGGCCTCCGAAATTTCACAAATTTTATATCGGTATTATCCAAATTTTCATTCTCTCCAACATCCATTATTACATTATCACTAATATTGAAAATATTCCAAAAATTATTAGGAGGACCTAGCTTAGTAATCCAATCCCAACCCATAATAGTTTCAACATTTTCCTTTACTACCCATAAATCAAGAAAAAACATAGTATCGTTAAAATGCACCCCCAATTTACTTTTTCCTAAAACCCCAATTTCAGACCCATCAAATTGTCTGACACACATAGACTCCCTCTCAAGTGTTTTTCCCGGCCAATACTTATAGAAATTTTAGCTAGACATAATCGAAATGCTAGCTCCCGTATCAAATAACATATCTATATTTTTATTGTCAATCTTCAAATTAACCTTAGGACACAAACATTGTCCATTTAAGATTTCCGTCATTAAAATATTATGTGTATTAATCGGAGAATCAGCGTTTATTTTATCTAAAATACTAATTTCATTGGCATTCACATTGCCCCCTAAATTCAACTCGGAATTTAAATTTTTATTACTGACAATTACATTTCTTTTAACAAGATTTGTGGGACATCTTTCCCAAATAAAATTCTTAACATCCCTTCTAAGAGAATAACGGACAATATTCCTCGGATATTGTTCCCACCTAAATCGACTAACCTCCCTCCCAAAGAAATTATGAGAATAATTTCTTATTTTAATTCTATCATTCCCCTCATTTCGACTAATAATATTAAATGTTTTATTATACAAATTCTTCCGAACTCTCGGAGCCCCGACTCCTATATGATTCACCTTGCAATCATATAGTCAACACGAATTTCGTGATACTTCCATGCAGTCCACAGCTACATGTCCCGGTCTTTTACATTTAAAACATATTCGAGATTCATTCACCCGAACCACCTTTACACTAGCATTTCCTATTTCAGATCTCTTTAATGGAAATCCATCTTTAAACCTTTGCTCTGGGACCACACAGGTATCCCTTTTATGTCCTCTCCATCCGCAACGATGGCAAATGATCATTTCCACAAATCTTTTATTTTCCGACAATCCTTTATTTTCCTCGTAATCATTAAATTTCTTATTCATATTTCTATCACCCACCTGGCTCTTAAGCGAACTTTTGATCTCCTTTATCAACGCATTGATGGCTTCTTTCATTTCCAGAAGGATCTTAACCGACCTCTTCCCTACATCTCCAGTCTTGATTTCCTCTAAAACATCTTTTAGATTACTTTCCAAATCTGCTATTTTCTTCCCAAAAATATCCGATATTAAATAAAAAAACGTTTCCTGCATTACTTTTTTATAAACATCTGACACCGCAGTGCCCTTCTTCCAACTGCAATACATGCCTGCCAGTACCGCAGTACCCCTTTTTACCAAGTATTTCGCCAAAATCACCAATATATAAATTATTACCAATATTCCAATTATCATTCCCTGTTTAATTAAATCCAATTCATCAAAATTTTTATACAAAACTTTAAGACCCAAATTCTTATATAATGAAATCTTAGCAGCCACGCTGTAATCATCATGATACCTAAAAAAATGAACCATTTGGTCATGAATCTTTTAGTCAATACTAATACTCAATTACAAACACTTTAAATATTTGTAGAAAATATTAAAACAGCACCTTAAATTAAACTTCACTAGCTAAATCGTATAATGGTTAGTACAAAGGCGCAGTCAAAAATTCTAAAAAAATTATATAATTAAAAATTTTTTGTTTTACCTTCTAAACCGAATAACTCCTAAAAAACTATCAGCGTCACAAGGCACCACTAAAAAATCCTACAATCACAAACTACAACATAAACAAAACCTACCTAAAACAAATCCTAGAAACTAACTCAATGCTTCTAAAATAAAAAGACAAATCCTAAAGACTAACCAAACACTTCTAAAAGAAAGAACAAATTTATTTTCGATAATATCAATAATAATATCATTCCACAAAAAAAAATAATAAAATAAAATCATACATCTATATTATATAACTACGATATTCCATAAAAAAAACACGTGATTATGAGTGACGTGTTGTAATATATACTATATATATTTATAACTACAATTATATCTAATGTAAAAAAAAATATATAATGTAAACGTATTTACGAATACGACAATAGCTGCGATTCATTTGATAGTTATCAGAATTGCGAAAACCATTCTTGTGGTATTCAAAAATATAAACTAGAAAAAGGCACCTAGTTGTAAGTGTTTTGTCAGGTTATAGTACCAAAAATAAGAACTAAATTCTTACTGATTAAAAAAATGGCCTTTACCAAATTCTAATCAATGTCAATACCTAAGACAGTATGAAAACAAAAAAATATATAAATTTTTGCTTTTTAAAAGTCAAAACTTTTCTGTTTATATCTCCCAGCCATAATCAGATTCCTGTCTTCATTCACACCCATTTTCTAACCTCTTACATTCCACCTTTACCTGATCTTCATCTCCTTATCAATATTATATCCTATGCTCATGCCCGCTCCCGACCCCTTAAAAAAACATCACAATACGACTTTGCCCCTCACTTGTTTTCACCATAAATTTGTTCCCTCCCTCTTTACCTAATACTTTCTTTTTAAAGATATCGATACGATTCCCAAAACCCATTATATAACCCACTCCCTTTCAGTAATTCCCATGTCAGACTTGTACTTTGCCTTTGTTTTTGTCTATACAAACTCCATGTGCATTAAAATTCCGAATAAATTTATTGCTAAATTTACCCCATTATGTTTTAGTCAAGAATTAATGAAGAGATTTTTTGATCAAGAGTGTCAGAAATAAAATAGTAACTAAAAAACGTGTTTTTGCAGGAATGTGACTGGACCCTGAAAATGTTTTTAATGAAAAAATTTCTGGTTTTTATAATTCTATTTTATAAGTAATATCTTTTAGAAAGTGAAAAGTGTAGGTATTTTATTATAAATAATAATCAATTAATGTGCTATATATTAGGAATATGTTACTTATCTTGTTTTGTATCAATTTTAGAAAGTGAAATATTGGAAATTTTGTACTATGCGCAAAACAAAATGTGTGGAAATCTCCCCCCCCCTCCAATCATAAATGTACCTGTTCCCGTAAATATTATCGTTTTAATTGGGGAGAGAAGACTGGATGTTAAAAAAGTTAACACCCCATGATAAAAGTAAATGGAGACCAAAGACAAGGATTTTTTTAGGAGAAACTTTAAGTCGTGGATGTCTCTAAGAGTTGTAGTTTTCCTTTCAATTAAGCAAGGGGAAATATAGTAATTAGGAATTTATTACATGTTTTATAATCTATGATAATACCATAATTTATAAGGTGAACTACCTAACATATATAGTGAGAATCAATCATTATATAATTTCTGATGAAGAAATATAGTATATCTGAATCATGTATATTAGGATTGTATGTCAAAATCAAAAATTTCTCCCCTTCCTCTCACCATCAAAAAATATATACAATATATCACAATAAAGATAATTTGAAAGTAAAATTAGCAAAAACTTTTTAAAATAATGAGCATAATTCAAAATTTTTAGTCAAAAATAGTGAAAACACAAATTTTTTTTATAAAATATAATATAGCCAAATGCTTACAATAATTGGATCTAAAGATCTACAATAAAATTTATGAAGAAAAAAACTCATCTAATAGTACCCCTTCCCCCTTTAGAAAAATTATAATTACTATGTTTTGCATTGTAGGTAAAATATTTTATTATAAATGATATTAAGGCTATGTGATTAAATAAAACATTTAAAATATAAAATAAATTTTTTAATTATATATATAATGAAAAAAATGTTATTTTAAGTCAATATTTTAAAAACATTTAATATTTTATTTTCAAAATCAGTTGGGGTAAAAAAAGAAAATATTTTTACTATAATTCAGGTTAGATAAAATTTTACAAAACATACTTTATTTTAATTTCATTTTCTTTCACAAAATCGTCATTCAATGGTATGGATAATTCGATGTTTGTTTCACTTCTGGGTTCCTATAAAAAAAATAATAATTAGATATATTAGTTGACTGATGAAAATGGTCTATATAAGTTAATTGCTGTATCCTTGCTAAAAATTACAGGTGATTCCTAAAATTTAGTTTATGTATAAATGAGGTTTTTCATGGACTATACAGTATTTACGCAAGGGTGTGACTAAAATACGCGTACCCAGAAACTACGCGTCCCCGGTCAAAGGGGTTTAATTTATATAATATTATTTAAAAATCTTATTTAGCTTCATAAAATAAGTTAAAAAATGTTTTTTATGATTTAAAAAAAAATGAAATCTTAGTAAAATTTTTAAAAAATTATTTTTTTACATGAAAAAACTACGCGTCCCCGGTCAAGATACAATTTTTTTTTAAAAATAAAAGCAGATTCATATTTAGCTCATTAAATGAATATAGAAAATGTTTTTTATGATTTAAAAAAAATGTGTTAACTTAGTAAAATTTTTAAAAATTTATTTAAAAAAAAAATAAGTATTAACTTTGAATTATTTAAACACACATATTCAATAAGCATGATTATTTTGATAATAATATTAAAATTTATAATAACTATTTAACTTTGTATTAATTAAAGAAATTTTTTCTTTGTGGTTTTAGCCATAAAAAGTTGGAAATTATTTATTTACACATTTTTATGTTTCCGCTCTTAGCCACCTGGAGGCAACCATTTTTAAGAGCTTTTAGGTCTTAGTTTAAAAAACCAAGACCATGGATATATAACGGGTTTAAAATTTTAAACCTGAAATATAACCATTATATATTAGATATAAAAAATTTAATATTTAAAAAAAAAATTAATCCTCATATATAAACGGGTTTAAAATTTTAAACCTGAAATATAACCATTATATATTAGATATAAAAAATTTAATATTTAAAAAAAAAAATTAATCCTCATATATTCATCCTCTGTATGATTATCATTATTAGACCTAGGAGGATTAATATCTAATCTATTAACATCCGACGCCAAGTCAACACAGGATTCCTGGTTACTTGGTGTCGGCGCCGTTACGGGGATGGGGATCGGCTCTGATACGGGGATTATGGGAATCGGCGCCGATACTGGGGTGGGGATTATGGGAATGGGCGCCGATACGAGGGTGAGGATTATAGGATTCGGCGCCGATACGCGAGAGGGCACAGTGGAATTAGGCCCTCCAGCACGGCTCTCTGGACAAAAACGACGATATGATCGCCTCCGCATCTGTAGCATCCAGATGGCCGTCGAGAGCCTCTCGAGGAAGATCCTCTTCCTCCGTACCAATAGTTGGTACTATAGCCCCTCCTGCTACGCGACCTGTGAGACCGACTGTCTCTAACAGGCCTCAATTGAGCATTTGCCCATATAGTCGGGAAGCTTCTAGTCTAGCTTCTTCCAATAGGTTGTCCGACTCCACTGAGCCATCAATCATGCGGATTGATATCGTTATTACAAAGTCTCCAACCCGAAAAGTTGAACCCATCTAATAATAATAAAATAAAGGGAAGATACAAATTTAATGTTTAAAAATTAATATCCATATGCTTTACTTTAATTTTTTATATTGCAGGCCATTTTAGGACGTCTTCAGCACCCTGCCAATTCTGATTGTGATATAAATATCAAGAAACATTTAGATATTAATGATACACTAAATTAATCCATATACTTTAAGTTTTAAAACCTTAGGTGAAGTTGAGAAATCTGAGTTATCTCTTGCAAAACATTCAAATATATTATTACCCAAGATTAATATGATAATTAGTGGAGATCGTTCCAGCAACCGTAATATCTATATATATAAAACACATTTTTATATCTATATACTTTAACAACTTGATATATTTTTTAAAGTAAAGCAAATGCATATTAATTTTTAAACATTAAATTTGTATCTTCCCTTTATTTTATTATTTTTAGATGAGTTCAACTTTTCAGGTTGGAAACTTTGTAATAACGATATCAATCCGCATGATTGATGGCTCAGTGGAGTCGGACAACCTATTGGAAGAAGCTAGACTAGAAGCTTCCCGACTATATGGGCAAATGCTCAATATAGTGAGGCCTGTTAGAGACAGTCGGTCTCAGAGGTCGCGTAGCCCTAGGAGGGGCTATGGTACCAACTATTGGTACGGAGGAAGAGGATCTTCCTCGAGAGGCTCTCGACGGCCATCTGGATGCTACAGATGCGGAGGCGATCATATCGTCCGTTTTTGTCCAGAGAGCCGTGCTGGAGGGCCTAATTCCACTGTGCCCTCTCGCGTATCGGCGCCGAATCCTATAATCCCCACCCTCGTATCAACGCCCATTCCCATAATCCCCACCCCCGTATCGGCGCCCATTCCCATAATCCTCACCCCCGTATCGGCGCCGATTCCCATAATCCCCGTATCAGAGCCGATCCCCATCCCCGTAACGGCGCCGACACCAAGTAACCAGGAATCCTGTGTTGACTTGGCGTCGGATGTTAATAGATTAGATATTAATCTTCCAGGTCTAATAATGATAATCATACAGAGGATGAATTATTATATGAGGATTAATTTTTTTTTTTAATTATTAAATTTTTTTAAATATTAAATTTATATCTAATATAAAATGGTTATATTTCAGGTTTAAAATTTAAACCCGTTATATATCCATGGTCTTGATTTTTTAAACTAAGACCTAAAAGCTCTTAAAAATGGTTGCCTCCACGTGGCTAAGAGCGGAAACATAAAAATGTGTAAATAAATAATTTCCAACTTTTTATGGCTAAAACCACAAAGAAAAATTTCTTTAATTAATACAAAGTTAAATAGTTATTACCTTAGTCATATGATCCATTGGATAACGATTAAAATTTTAACAACAATCTTTAAAGACAACAAGGGAATGAAACACCAATACTATTTTACAAAAAAATAATTTTTTTTTAAACCATAATGCTTACTTGTATAGGATATTATGAATGTATACAGTATGATATAACTATAATTGTTCATTTTACTTAGAGTTATTTTTTTTTATTATCAACGTAATTGAAAGAATATCTTTTTTAAATTATACTATAATATGTTATATAAATCTTATTATATTTAATAAATGATATTTATAATTCAAATAATAAATGGTTTATATATCTGATAAATAAAGGGACGCGTAGTTTAGTCAAAAAAATAATTTTTTCGAAAATTAATTTTTTTTAAGGAAAAATTTCTTAATACCATTTTTGTTATCTCCATGAAAAACTATACACGATTCTATATTCATTTTTATAAAAATAATCTATCTTGACCGGGGACGCGTATTTTAGTCAAAAAATGAGTGTCTTTTCAAAATTTTACCTAGTTACTTCTTTTTTAAATAAAAAAAAACATTTTCTGTATCCATTTAATGAGCTAAACATGAATCTGCTTTTATTTTTCAAAAAAAATTGTATATTGACCGGGGACGCGTAGTTTAGTCAAAAAAAAATTTACGATACCATTTTCGGAATCTCCTTGAAAAACTATACACGATTTTATATTCATTTTTATAAAAATAATCTATCTTGACCAGGGACGCGTAGTTTAGTCAAAAAATGAAGAAAAAAAGTGTTTTTTAAAAATTTTACTAAGTTCACACTTTATTTTTAAATCATAAAAAACATTTTCTATATTCATTTAATGAGCTAAATATGAATCTGCTTTTATTTTTAAAAAAAAATTGTATCTTGACCAGGGACGCGTAGTTTTTTCATGTAAAAAAAATAATTTTTTAAAAATTTTGCTAAGATATCATTTTTTTTTAAATCATAAAAAACATTTTTTAACTTATTTTATGAAGCTAAATAAGATTTTTAATTAATATTATATAAATTAAACCTCTTTGACTGGGGACGCCTAGGGACTCGTAGTTTTTGGGGACGCATATTTTAGTCATGCCCTTTACACATTATTATATATAACTGACATAAAAAAATTATTTATGAAGCATAAATTAGTGTAAATTTTATGTCAGAATCTCTTTATAAATTACTTTAATAGTGTTGGATAAATTAGCAATGGATATTATATTTTTTAAATTTGTAGACAATTCTGCTAATGTTTCCAAATTTTCTTCATTGGGCATATCAAGCTTAAGCCTTATTTTTTCTAGTTAAAATATATCACATAAATTTCATTTTAAATAAATATATACCTATTATTTGTTCTATATTAGGTATGTGTTCAATACTTTCAGTTGCCCTTTATAAATAATTAATAATATGGATCTTAAATTGTATTACAATGCAGTTTCATTAGCAATATCTGAATTAGAATTATCACCCTCCAAATTGTTTGGCTTCAAACATTGTTCAATCAAAGCTTTATTTTCTTCCTGCAATTTTTCATTGTGGTGTAATACCTAACATAAAAAATGTTTTTTTAAATATATTATGGGTTAAATATTTGGATTAAAAAAATAAATAAATAATTAAATTGGTTTAAAATATCATCAAATATATATAACTTAAAAAATTAATACATATTGTAATTCTGCCATAATAGTTCCATTTTGCAATTTAAACTCCTCTTCTTGATTTTGTATTTTTAAATGTAATGATTCATTATCTGACAACAACAAGGATATTTCCTTTTAAAATGTTAAGATTAAAAATTAAGATCAATATTACTTTAATTTTTCTGCTTTTCTCTATAGTTTTAAAATATTTTTCTGATTCTTGTTTTGTTAAAAAATATTCTTGTTTTATAATAGAAATATCTAAGGTATATTGATATTTATATTAAAACTATATTTAATAAATTTTTACCATTTTCATATTTCCTACATGTATCCAACAGTTTATAATTATCCTCTTTCAAAATTAATAATTGGTCCTATACAATTATTATAAAAAATATCATTGTGATTTTAAACTTGTATATTCTGAAAATCCTTTTCAGAATACATATAAATTTATTAATTTTGGACAACTACGACCAATAACCAACTAAATGTACCATAAAAAAGATAATGATAGAAAATGTCAAGTTTGACAGCTGAAAAATTTCAGACTTGTTCTTATCTTTTATATATTTTTTAGCGATATTTATAACTTTATTTTCACATCTATATTTTAATATTAAAAAATTGCAATAAAATAAATTGATTTTAAATATTTTAATTATACAATATTTACGTTTAAAGAAAACAAACAATTGTTTATATACAAAAAAAACAGAATCAAAATTTAAAAAGAAGATAACTATAGCTTTAAATGAGAAGAATAAGGAAATATGAGTTAATCAAGCAAAGATCTATAGAGGGAAGACTGTCATTGAAACTTGATATTGTATCATTTTTCTATATCTTATATTTGCTAATTTTAATACATTTTCTCATAGGCCCTGCTAAAAAATTCGGAGTTATATCAAAATTTAAGACAATTTAAAAAAAATTTTAATTGAAAAATATTTTATGCATAAAAATTAAAAAAGATTCATTCACCAAAATTATTTTAAATAGATTTGGGCACTTTTAGGTAAGATTTGATGAAAAATGTCTCTTCGTATATTAAAAAAAAAATTTGAAGATTTTTATTTAAAATCTGTTATCTATACGCAACTAGAAATGGTAAGAATAAGATAAAACAAATTTTTATTTCAGAAATGAAAACAGCAATATAGTATTTTAATTAACGCGATATTTATAATAAAATTAAAGAGATGATTCGTTCTTCCAAACATATGTTGCTGTTGGATTTCAATAATTCGAAATCGGATTGTATAGACAGTTGTTCCAAGTTCTAAGTCGTGGTCGATGGGCTTGATAGTCCGGAAAGCGAAGGGCCAATGACCGGAGGTGTTGATGGTCGAAGAGGGATTCATTTTCCTCCACCTGGCGAATGGCGGTGTTGATTGTTTCCTCGCTAACATCAGGTCAATTGGATAGTTCTATCCTATTGGTATCGCCGATTTATGTTCTTAATGGTTCAACTGCCGGGTTTTCATCGATAGGAACCCAATAAATATTTTGCGAGACCGCCGTGAAATTTTGTAACCCTAACGTAATGAGTATTTGCGCGATGACGATTACAATGGCGGATGATCTAGAACATCTTTCCTGAATACATAATAGGCTACAGATAAATCGGTGAAAATAATAGGAGGGATGCCGTATTGATAGCGAGAAGGGCTCCGACTCCTACCGCTAAAATTCCTTAGCATTGATATGCGCGATGCTATGTCCGGGTATAGAGAAGAGATGGGCTGCTTCAGTGAAGGTAACGAACATGTTGTTATACCTCCAGAAGGATAGGCCGATAAAGGAGTTGGAAGCGTCGACATACAAGGGATATAACGCCGGGGATATTAGGTGTATAGGGTGTTGTAATGCCTCTATATCCGCTTTCCTAAACGTAAGGATTCTCTAGATTTTATTATAAATATCGCGTTAATAATTAATATATTCTATTGTTGTTTTCTTTTCTGAAATAAAAATTTGTTTTATATTATCTTGACCATTATATTATTTACATTATTACATTCTCTTGTATCCAAAGTTTTTAATGGTAAGACTAGGGTTGTCAGGTCAAAATTTTCAAATTGTTGGAGAAATTTTGTATTAGCAGGAGAAATATGAAAATTGCCGGAGAAATATGAAAATTGTGGTAGAAATAAAAATTTTGCTAAAAAAGGCCATCAAAATCCCGGCCGGGCTGGGATTTTGAATTGACTTAATTATCCGCCTATTATTTTTTATAATTAGTTTATTTTAATACAAATCCGGTAACAAAATAAAATAATATCTTGATTTATTAAAATATGTTAATTTATAAAAAATAACCAACGATCCTTTTTAAATATAAAAGAATGTAAACAAGATAAAATTTTATAAAAAAACAAACGATTTTAGTTTTATAATGTAAAAAAAAATATTTTATGCGAATGTCCCGCAAAACTTCCGCAATTAGAAATCTACCTTGTCTGTGTATAACATTATAGGGATAGGGGCTTAATTATCACGTATCACGTTTAAATACATAATAAGGTAATATTGTACTCATTTCAATGATAATTATTTTATTTATTATTGTTCAATCACATCATAATAATCAGTGCAGGAGAGTGTATCTACATCCATTGCAAAACAAAAATATTCTCCAAAAATAAGAAATAATACAGATGCAACTACGGTTGCAGCAATTGTAATTACTTATCTTGTAGTACAACATTCACAGAGCTACATCATTACAATATAGGTGGAATCTTTCACCATAATGTTTAACGACTCCAAGATAAATCAAAACTTTACTTGTAGAACAAAAATGAGCAAGGATATCATCAATGTTTTAGAACCTGAATTCAGGAGGTATATTCTTGACGATTTGAAAGATGGGCATACATATGCAATATTCTAACAGATGCATCTAATAAGGGAAATATTAAAATATTTCTTTTGATCCTTCGCTATTTCTACAAAATTAAGGACGTTTCAAGAAAACTATTAAATTTTTTTGCCTCAAATAGTGAAAAAACCAAAGACATAGCCAGGGGCCCCTACAACGGGGAGGGGGGTCCGAAGCAACTGCTTCAGTAAATTTTAGTGGGGGTACTTTTTTTTACATCCATCATGATCATGTGATTTCTGGTAATAAATGTAACAATAAGACCCCCCCCCCCCCCCAACTTAATATTTAATTTAATATATTGACAGAAATTTTGGTCGATGTTTAGTAAATTTGTTATCCAAAATTTCTTGTCATAAATTATTTTTCCAATTTTAAAATATGCCTAAAAATTTTAACCAATATTGACAATAGCAAAATTCCTAGAAATTGGATTACTTATAGTATTAAAATGTATAAAGTTTTTTGCTTAACATGTTTCTTATTTAGTGGTCCACACGCAAATACAAAATGGAAATGTGAAGGTCTAGATAAATGGCAAAATATTAATCGTGATATTATTCTGCATGAATCTTCACAGGCATATATGATGGTCGATTAAGGAAGGCTTTCTTATAATAAAAATTCGATATTAAAATTTATAACACCTCAGAAAGAATGTGTGGATAATAACCGTTCTATTATAAGAATTATAATAAGATGTTTAGATTATTTAATATCTCGTAACCAAGCCTTCTGGGGGAACAGGCAACAAGAAGGCAATATGATGGCCCTTATTAAGCTTATTGCAGATTCTGAACCTATACTAAAAATGTATATACAGCAAAATGAAGAAAGAAAAAAGGATAAAAAAGATAAGGGATTAAAAACGAAATTATATTCAAACCTATTATCATATAATAACATAAACATTCTCATTAAAACCATGAAAAATATGGTTATAAAAAATTCAAAATGAGTATATTATACAGGTGCTCTTCAATCATAGTTGATGGCACATACGATGTTTCGAAATCAGAAGCAATAGCTTTGATAGTAAGATATGTTAAAAATAGTGAGACGCCGACTGTTGAAAGACTGATTGACATATATTGTACGGGAAATACCTCAGGTCTCGATATAAAGCATAATATAATATCCAAACTTGGCTCGATGAATTTACCCCTTGAATATCTAGTTGGGCAAAGTTATGATGGCGCCACAAACATGAGTGGAAGAATCAATGGTGTGCAAGCCTTGATTAGAGCAGAGGCGCCAAAGACATTGGTGTTATTGTCATCGATTAAATTTAATCGTTGTTCAATTATGCCAATCAATTAAAGAACTTCGAAATGTTCTAGGAATACTAGATGAGATCTATGTCTATTTTAATGCTGTAAAAAGATATGAGGTACTCAAAAAATTTCAGTGTAATGATCTGAAAAAATCGCAACGATTTCTACGCGTCAAGAATACCACTCGGTAATAGTTCCTTATTTATTTAAATTTTAAATGTTTTTTTTATTTAGAAGCTGGCTATCGTCATATAAAGCTATTGTAAATTTTTTTCAACTTATGATGCCTTGAGGGCAGCTTTAACAAATTTAAAGGATTCTGAAGATCCTGCCACTTCCACTATGGCTAGTGCTATAGTCTTTAGAATATAAAAATTTATTTTATCTTATCACTTTGTGTTTTGGATAAAATATTGTTGATAACAAGTTTGGCTTGTACAAAATTGCAAACCATTTCGAAGGATATAGGGTATGCAATAAATCAAATTCAATTGACAAAAGATTGCTTGATTAATTTGAGAAGTATAATATAAATTATTGTCTTAATTATTTTTTAATCTAATAGATAATAACACTGAATTTTTGGATGTTTTTTCAAAGGCGCAAGATTTTATGAAGGAGAGAAATCTACATTTTGATTTTGAAAGTTCTAGACTTCAAACATTACAATCCAAAAAGGAGAGGTATATATACTTTCATCATTAAATATAGAAATTTTTTTTAGCTTTAAAATAGGTGTGTTTTATGATGCACTCGATTTAATTATTATGCAGTTTAACGAAAGATTTAATGATGATTCCATGAAATTTTTACATCATACGCCAAAGGGAATGGCAGAAAAATCAATTATTATAGAAGATATCGAGGATATCAGTGAATTTTACAATTTAAATTCAAGTCAAATTTTCGAAGAAATGTTGAAGTTTAGAAATATTAATAAGATGACCAAAATGGGGAATGTAATTATTACTCATGACGTAGAGGTTCAAGAATATAAAGATTTGTCAGATTCTGAGAATTGTAAATTTATTTAATTAAAATATTTTTACCAATACATTATTTAGCTTCTTCTGATGATGATGATAATTCAGGGACTTACGATTCAGATTGGAAAAACTATTCATTTATTTTACCGTATCGTTTACTTTTAAATTTTTCTGCTTTCCCTAATTTAAGAATTTTATATAAATATTTATTAACCATTCCCACAACCTCATGTACTGCCGAAAGAGTCATGAGTAAAATTAAATTAATTAAAACAAGACTGCGCAGTACCATGAAAGATTCTTTTCTCAATAATTTTAACCATATAATCAATGGAAAAAATTTTATTTAAACAATTAA